TTTCGTATTTCAAGATATTTTGTGTAATTTTGGTAAATATATCTGCTAAAATGAGATGTCAGTGTTATATTCATTTCTGCGTAAGTTTAACGACATTTACCATTCGCACACTTGATACACACACACACACACACACATATATATATATATATATATATATATATATGTGTGTGTGTGTGTGTGTGTATATAGTTAAATTAATTAAAAAAAATATAGTTAAATTAATGTTATAGTGGAACGCACCTATTCTATAGTTAATAGACTATCTCACCTATAATAAGTAGGAGTAGTAAGAGTAATCTGTCAGTCAGTCGACCCAGTACTTTCTGAGCGACTGTTCGGTTCAACTCTCTGTCTATGGACGGAGAGGAACCCGAAGGGCGCTACGCCGAAGGGCGGAGTCTCCTTCGGGGAGGTAAAACCGGCCCTGAACCCGTTTAGGCGAGTTCAAACGGGCATATTTTTGGGCCGAGCCCACGGGCTCGGGAAAACCCACAATAAACAACCGACCTTGTGTCACATGTTGCCCTAGTAGGTGGGGGGGAGACTGAATATTGTCAGTCGACCCATGTGTTTTCTGAGCGACTGTTCGGTTGAACTGTCTTCCTACGGACGGGAGGAACCCGAAGAACCCAAGGGCGGAGTCTCCTTCGGGGAGGTAGACCGGCCCTGAACCCGTTTATGCGGGTTCAATGGGCATATTTTTGGCCGAGCCCACGGTCTCGGAGTGCCCACGTTAAAAAGGCCTTGTGCCACATGACACCCTCGTGGTGGGGGTGACTGAATATCGTCAGTCAGTCAGTGAGTCGAAGTCGGACGACAGTTAGTCGGATACTAAAAGTATCAGCGACCACCTCAAGATTACTCCGCGTTATACCTATTATATCAAGTTCCTAACGTTTTGTACGTCGAACCTATTTTAGGACCGACTTAGTACAAATACAAGCCTCCACTGCGAAATAACTCCACAACAATTAATTAAAAAAAAACAACAGACAACCTTAAGGATCCATTGATTATATTTTATTCCCCCAGGAATGGGATTTTTTTCTTGTTCCTCAGATCACATTTCCAAACATAAAAGAAAATGGTTTAAAAATTTACATATTATTTTTATACAAGTTTTTGAGGCGTAGTTGTAAGTTAGTGTAAGGTAATAGAGAGAAGTGGGAGGAGTCAACGACAGATATGATCTTGATTAGAGAGGAAAGGGAGAGATAGGGATATGTTTAAATCTATCTTTATAAAGAAACGTAAGGCTAAGGGTGGTAGGGTAAGGTACCTGACATTTTAACCTATTTAACAATACGGATTACCAAACATTTCAGTAACTAACATACTAACTATATACACACACACACACACACACACACACATATATATATATATATATATATATATATATATATATGTATGTATGTATTCTTTTAAATTTAATACATACATATATATATATATATATATATATATATATATATATATATATATACATATATAACGAAGAAGAAGACTTACTCAATTGACAAGACACCAGAAGTGTTGAAACAAAATAGCTATTTTTGTAGTGATGTTCTAACATGTTATTTTTGAATAAATACTATTTGCTCTATTCTGTATTGAACACTATTTTATTCTGTCTATACCAATCTTATATATATATATATATATATATATATATATATATATATATATATATATATATATATATATATATATATATATATATATATATATATATATATATACCAACGTGAATGCTCAAAACAAGTTTCTGGTTAAAAAATACACCTCTGGCATTCCACAAATTATGGCTTACTATCAGTTACTTATGTGCCATGTATGATACACGGTTAGCTGATCATGAATTTTTCGATAAATGACTGACGAGGCAGATTTTTTTCCCGTAGTAGGTTGCCATTTCTTTCTGCGGTAGACTAGTTGCCATCCAAGGCTATAGAACCCGGTCTATCCTGCTATTTACCCATAGCTGACGGGGAGACGAATAGGATTCATACCATTCCCTAGATTATTAACACGTAAGTGAATGTAATGGATTCGACTGGATTTCGAACTCGGCTCTCCGGTTCCTCAATCCGAGCCGCTATCCATTATTCCACCGTACTGCGTATTAAAAGGAGTCCATCTAGAATCGATGATGACTGCAACGCTAGCTACGTTGAGCAGGTTAGTATGGTTGCAATGGTTTGTGCTGAGCCACAGCAACCATCTCTTTCTGCTCCTACTCTCCTAGGGCACACACAAATGTGTGATGTCTGGGGAGAGAAAGCAGATCACACGGGATGGCAGATAATACCAAACAGTATTGAGTTCCCTTCCCCAGGATATATTATCGAAGTTAATTCCTCTGGCCTATCTCCAGGTTGTTTTGAATTCAGAGTTTTTCTTTCTCCTAGACCGGCTGCCACCCAGAGCTATAGTACCCTGTTTGTTCTGCTATTTACCAATATCTGGACGGGGAGAATAGATGGATTCAGATCCCGACCAAATGTATCAGCACGGTAGAGTAATGGACTGCGGCTCGGGTTGCGGAATCGGAAAACGGAGTTCAAATTCTTGTCGAGTTCATTACAGGAACTGTGAACAAATCTTTTCCAACTATTGTAAGTTTATAATAACCGCCATTTTATATTTGGATGTTTTTTTATTGTGCTGTCTCTAGATGGTATTTTGGTCATATTGGGGCCATTTTCACGTTTAGCTATCAAGTTTCTTTTTTTAGCAAGGATTCTGAATAAGGAAACAAAATGGAAAAATTCTTTGTAACACGTTTCATCCCCTAGAAAGACTTCATCAGACAATAGACCTCCATATTGCAATTCACTCCACCAGTAACTTGAAAGCGACATGCTGTATTGCTTGTCTTTCATGCCAGAAGCTCCAATACGAACATTTTAGGTGTCAATCTGAGGATTATATATATCTTTTATTTTACGGTTTATCAACCTTTTAAAGGTTTAAAGCCAGAACATATTTTAAGATTGTAAGATTTATTTTGGGATATAATGATTTACTGAGACAAGTCTTACTAATTAACCCATAGTTAGGAAGAGAAGAGGTGATTTCATAAATTCTCCCCCACCCCACCCAAAAAATAGAATTATATATTTATAGTGCGAAGGAGGGGGATAAACTCGAGCGTTGGTTATACTTAAGTACCAAGAGGAAGTGCTGAGGTATGGGAACGCTAAATTTAACATTTTTAACTTTTAAAACTTCTTTACTTCTAAAACCTTTTTTTTTTTTTCGTCAGACGTATCTGGACATACAACATAGCCGATCTCTTTCAGTATCCCTACGCTTTTGATTTTGTTTTCATCGTTCATTTTTCTAAATATCCCACATTGGAATAACGGGTGATCTGACAAGAAAGGTGAAAGAAATCTGACGCAAATTTACCATTGATGGACTTTTCCCACTTTATCATTAAATAGTCTTACATTGTTCTTATATATATAAAGTTTATATATCCGGTTCTCCCATATGAGAGAGATATAGAATGTTTGCCAAAATTAAGGTCTTTTGCGTAAGTACATAGATTAAATGTGTTTTAATTTAGTTGAAACAGTTAAAAAAATCATATGAACAGCCAATGTGGATCGACCTTTGGAAAAAGATGGACGTTACTTACACATTAGTCACAAGGCTAACATGAATTTTCTGATATTTATACGTGTTTTTATGTTTGTGGCATCTTCTTTTATGAACGGTACAAGTCTTAAAACAATTATAGAAAGGAAACAGTGCATCCGTTCACCAGACAGCAGCTTCCTGTCACGCAGTATAGTCAAAAATTACCCAATGATACCTGCTGCAAGGACTGGATGAAACTTGGACAATTACCTATATAAAAAATGCCTTATGCTGTATTTTGCATCGGTAGATATATAACACACGAGGCCGAAAACTGCCCAGCCATTTTTTTTTAATATATCTTTGGACAGATTGTGCGGTTTTGAAAGAAATTTTTACTGCGCATGTGTGAACACACTTCTTTCGATTTGTGAAATCGCCAATGAGACGATGGAGAATGAACTTGCGTACTGTGTGATTGTCACTCTTTACTGCGATTTTGCAGCAAGCTTCGTTTGAAACTTTGACCTTCGTCTAGAGCAGTGGTTCTTAAGCTTTTTTTTTAGTCACGGACCCCTTTAATCACAGACCCTATAGGAACTAGCCCTTCATAGACAGACTGGCAGACAAACATATTATCACAGACCAACTGGTTTGTCAGCATCACTTGTATGTGCATTTCTCCATACTTTACACCCATCCACACTGCACAGACATCACTTATTCGCCGGCTCCATGAAAGAAATTCCTCACCAGTGTATGAGATAAACCGTGACAAGCCGTGATAAACCGTGGGAAATAAGAATTATCACTTGCTCTTAAAAAGATGGCAAAGATGGCGGTCGTGCAGAGAATGATGGCACACGTTTAAATGGTAAATATGGACCCAACAGCAAATCAAGAGGCGCCTAGCGGTCGACAATGTAAGTGTTGGTTGGGTGCATTTTCTTTCAAGCAGTGGCAGGATGTATTTTCTTTTATTTCTTTCAATGGGAAACAGTAGATTAAGCCGAGAGTCTTATAGCGAATATAAATGTTAATTTTTATCTGATCCTCACGAACCCACTGAAAGTCTATGGACTACAGGTTAAGAAGACCCATTCTAGAAACTGTTCGAAACAATTCGAATTACTTTTGGAGATGATGAGATGTGTGAATAGAAAAAATATATTATTGACGCTTTAAACTTGGTCTTCAATCCTTTGAAAGAGGTGCACATTTTGGAAAGCCTTCAAAGAGCAGAACGCCCGAAAATGCTCAATGCTTTCAGATTGCAGCAAAAAGGAAAACGGCGATTGACATTGCACGACTTAGAAAGACTTTCTGGCAATTCCATGCACAGTTCGGAATGTGTCTTTTGAATTTCAGGAGTACTTCTTTTTTTTTTTTTCTTCAACATGTTATTAAGGCTAAAATGTCCGCGGAAAGGAAGCAGGTATCAGACTGTTGGCGAGGAGAGGCGAGGCGAGGCGACTGATGCAGTTTCGGAAGCAAGCCAACATCATTACTGGAAAGAACGATAACAGGCAACTTGAGAAACCTTTTTGTTCCTCCAGTGACACATACGATTTTGAATTCAGAAGTGAATACATGAGTTCTTAAGGGCATTAATTGAAGAGGACTTTAAGCTTGGTCTGGAATCCTTTGAAAGAGGTGCACGTTTTGGAAGGATTTCAAAGAGCAGAATGCTTGAAAATGGTCACTGCGTTAGGATTATATCAAAAAGGAAAATGGCGATTGATATTGCACGAATTAGAAAACCTATCTGGCAATTCTGTGCACAGTTCGTGAAGTGTTTTTTGAACTTCAGGAGTGTTTCTATTTTTTTTTCTTCAACGTGTTACCAAAGCTGACATGTCCGCGGAAAGGAAGCAAGTATCAGACTGTTGGCGAGATTAAAGCAAATCGCAGCGAGGCGACTGATACCGATTCCCCTACAAAATCGGGAGGGATACGAACTGAATACGTGAGTTCTCAACGGGATTAACAGAAGAGGACTTGGGCAATATTGGCAGAAGAAGACTACTTTTTCATTAATTGTAAAGACTAGAAGATTTCAAGATATACTTTATATTTACACCGGACAGAATCACCCAGTTTCGCTAAGGGGGACTGCCTGATTTACACCTGATGTCTACAGAAAAAAAAACAACTGCCGGACCCAGATATTTTAGTAGACCTAACTGCATGATAAAAAGACTACATGATCATAAATTTCTATGTTTATAGTAAGTGTGATGTGAGGGTGTTGTACGTAAGTGTTGAAGTTTGGATAAGCATGGAATAATAATAATACAACACAAAATGTACGTAAACAACATGTATTGAAACAAGGAAAAGGTACACAATATTTACAGTTAGTTTTGGTATATTCTTGGGAAGACTGTTCCTGTAGAATGGGTTGACTTAATCGCAGTCGGGCAGAGTCTCTCGATTCGATCTCTTCTTACTTCTCCCCCCGTCTTCCCGGTACCAACCCATATTTATATGGTCGGTACTCCACTATGTAAATTAGGTGGATCGTACCACAACAGAAAGAAAGAAAGAAAGAAAGAAAGAAAGAAAGAAAGAAAGAAATGAAGGCAAGAAAGAAAGAAAAGAAGGAACGAAAAGTGAAAAGAAAGGGTGAAAAAGAAGGAAAGTGTGAAAGAAAGAGTGAAGGAAAGAAAGTGTGAAAAAAGAAAAAAGAAAGAGTGAAAGGAAGAAAGAGTGAAAGAAAAGACACAGTTAAAGTCACAGTACAGAAAGAGTGAAAGAAAGATAAAGAAAGAAGAAAATCATGAAAGAAAGAGTAAAAAGAAAAAAGGATGAAAAAAGGTACAGTTAAAGAAAGAGTCAAATAAAGAAAGAAAAAGTAAAAAAATGAGCGAAAGAAAAAAGAAAGTGAAAGAAAGAAAATGGAAAAAAGAAAGAAAAGTGAAAAATGACTGAAAGAAAGAAAGAAAGAAAGAAAAAATGAGTGAAAGAAGGAAAAAGTGAAATAAAGAAAGAAAAGTGAAAAAAAATGAGTGAAAGAAAGAAAGAAAGAAAGAAAGAAAGAAAGAAAGAAAAAATGAAAAAATGAATGAAAGAAAGAAAAAGTGAAATAAAGAAAGAAAAGTGAAAAAAAATGACTGAAAGAAAGAAAGAAAGAAAGAAAGAAAAAGAAAAAATGAGTGAAAGAAAGAAAAAGTGAAATAAAGAAAGAAAAGTGAAAAAAATGACTGAAAGAAAGAAAGAAAGAAAGAAAGAAAGAAAGAAAGAAAGAAAGAAAGAAAGAAAGAAAGTGAAAAAAAAGAAAGGAGAGATGAAAAAGATGGTGCTTACCTGATATTAAAGTGACGACCAAACAGAAAGTGATAAAGACAAATATTCCTGTACTGCCAACTGACATCATGTCTGGAAGTAGAAAGAAAAATTAAGAAAATCGAAATCTTTAAATACCACTCGACCTCAATCGAGATCGAAGAAGCCTCCATTCCGCACCACAATTATTTGTGAGCTCCATAAACTTTTCAAAGACTCGTCGGTGCTACATAATCAATGTCCCAAAGGGAATGCAGGCCTATCCTTCTCCAAGATTGGTTACCGACCACGATTAAAGAGACCAGTTCGCTCTGCTACTTCACCCATAGCTGTGAAATATTTATGCTGTCTGCTTGTGACACACGCTTAGAAATACGAAACCAGTGAAAGCAAGAAACTCCAAACTTGACTCAAATTCACAAACCCAACGAAGTTATTCTAGGCTCATGGTTGAGATTCTTCAGATATCGTAGTTTTGGACAGATTACTTCGCTGAAGAACTTCTATTTACGTCCCAAAATCCGTGATTTCTTTGTCTAAAATCTATCGCTGAAACCTGTGGCTCCCACACCAAATAAGTTTCTTCATTTATCAAAAAAGTCAAAGATACTATGCCCATCTCTGTCAATTGTAATCGTCAAGCCAACAGCTGAACCCCACTCTCAGTCAATTGACCGACCTGACAAATAACCCCATGTTGCATCTATATTCTTGTTCGCGTCATTAGATGAAAAGAGTTATTACCAGAAGATTAGATGAAAAGAGTTATTACCATAAGGTAGATGAAAAGAGTTATTACCACAAGATTAGATTAAATGAGTTATAAGCACAAGATTAGATGAAAAGAGTTATTGCCATGAAGATAGATGAAAAGAGTTATTACCACAAGATTAGATGAAAAGAGTTATTACCATAAAGATAGATGAAAAGAGTTATTACCACAAGATTAGATGAAAAGAGTTGTTACCACAAGATTAGATGAAAAAAGTTATTACCACAAGATTAGATGAAAAGAGTTATTACCATAAGGTAGATGAAAAGAGTTATTACCACAAGATTAGATTAAATGAGTTATAAGCACAAGATTAGATGAAAAGAGTTATTACCACAAGATTAGATTAAAAGAGTTTTTACCACAAGATTAGATGAAAAAAGTTATTACCACAAGATTAGATAAAAAGAGTTATTACCACAAGATTAGATGAAAAGTGTTATTACTATAAAGATAGATGAAAAGAGTTATTACCACAAGATTAGATGAAAAAAGTTATTACCACAAGATTAGATTAAAAGAGTTATAAGCACAAGATTAGATGAAAAGAGTTATTACCACAAGATTAGATTAAAAGAGTTATTAGCATAAGGGTAGATGAAAAGAGTTATTACCATAAGGTAGATGAAAAGAGTTATTACCACAAGATTAGATTAAATGAGTTATAAGCACAAGATTAGATGAAAAGAGTTATTACCAAAAGATTAGATTAAAAGAGTTATAACTACAAGATTAGATGAAAAGAGTTATTACCATAAAGATAGATGAAAAGAGTTATTACCACAAGATTAGATGAAAAGAGTTGTTACCACAAGATTAGATGAAAAGAGTTATTACCACAAGATAAGATGAAAAGAGTTATTACCATAAGGTAGATGAAAAGAGTTATTACCACAAGATTAGATTAAATGAGTTATAAGCACAAGATTAGATGAAAAGAGTTATTACCATTAAGATAGATGAAAAGAGTTATTACCACAAGATTAGATGAAAAGAGTTATTACCATAAGATAAGATTAAAAGAGTTATTAGCATAAGGGCAGATGAAAAGAGTTATTACCACAAGATTAGATTAAAAGAGTTATTACCACAAGATTAGATGAAAAGAGTTATTACCATAAGATTAGATGAAAAGAGTTATGATGCCATTTTTCGTGGATGGAGGCACTCTGTATGTATGTAAACAATATCAAGATTATTGAAACAGACAAAGAAAGAAATATCAACCTGAAAAACTGGGGAGAGCTTGCACCAAAATGTTTGCTCTGGCGTTAGACTACTTGACTTCTCCCATTTTTTTCCAACAAGAACTACTTGGAAACATTGAGGACAGGTAACAAAGATAGAAGGCTCTCCAAATCTATGTATGATCGGCGCCAACGATCTTGTGTAACCTGTGTGAACAAATCTACCTTGCCAGGATTGGTCTTACCATCCACCATCCACCAAAGGCATCGACAAGGGAACTGAGAAAGGGCGAGTATAGCAACTAACAGAAACCACATCTTTTGAAGACTTCAACAGCAGCAACAACTGAAATGGATAGCACATGTAACTTGGAGAAAAAAATAAAGACATAATTAAGACGCTGACGTTCCGCAGTACCTCAAACAAAAGTTTAGGCAGCAAGCCACCATCATTACTGGAAAGAGCGATAACAGGGAATTTGAGATACCTTTTTGCTCCGCCAGTGACACATACGGTTTTGATTTAGAGTTTTCCTTTTCCTATACCGGTTGCCAAACATGGCTAGAGAGTCCAGCTTGCTCTGTAATTTAACCCATAATTGGTTGGGGGGGGGACAAAATATAGAGTCGTATCTTTCACAAGGTTATTTATACGAAAAAAATGAACGAAACGCTTTCTATCGGAATTCGAAGTCAGCTCGCCTATTTGCTGTTATGAGGCGCCAGCCATTACATCACGTGTACATATAACACCTAATCCAACAGTGGAATAGTCAGGTTTACAATAGCAAATGCTACATTATAATACGCGCTTATTTAAAGCGATCATGACGTCACCGAAATATGAATAATTGTGCTATCATGGTGGTACAACTGATAAAAGTGTGAAGCTAGTTAGCCGCTTAAGTTGCCAGGCCATATTTAGTAAAATTAAGTTTCTTTTCTTTTATCTTTTAACTGGGTGATTTTATTTGAACTCCCTCCATGAAAAAAAATGAACAAAGAAAGAACAAAAATAAACATTTGATGTAAACTGCCCTAACAGAAATACAAATGAGAGTGCAAAAAAAAAAATACTAAAAAAAACAAAGCATATTTAAACTGTTGAACGTTTAAATCTTTTATGAAGAAATTGCAGTTAAGAAATCGCCATATTACTGTATTTCTTTTATTCCTAAGCGCGGATTTTATGCAAGGATTCTTCGTATGGCTGCGAGTCAATTCTGCCTGCAAGCCACCTTCTAACTGGCGGGCTTCATTTGCCATTCTATTTACTCGATTCGTGTATTCAGTTTCCTTTTGAGATTTGTATGAAATTGATTGATTCATTAAACGACCAAAGTTGGGATCAGAATCTCATTGTAAATGACATGATCCTTTCCTTAACGACATATTATGTGCATCACTAGACATGCAAAATGGTTCTGCATTCAGAGCTGTTCTTACCAATCAAGGCGAAAGAGTCTATTCTATTTAACCCATAGTTCAGGAAATATCATGGACTAGCAGCATGGTCCGCCGTTGCCCGTGCTTGATTCAAAATTCGTACGGCTCATACAGCAATCGCTATCACTTGACTTAAAATATTTTTTGCCCTTCCTTGCCTTTAAAGGAGTGCCCTTTGCCGTGCTGATGTTGCTACATGCCTTACTTCTTGCCTATATCACACTGCGAATTTTTTTCTAAGCTCTATACTAAACATTAAATCTTTTACGAAAAAACCTAAACAAAATGAACACAAAACGATCAGCTTTAAAAAAGGACTCGTAACTGGAAAAATCGAATGAAAAAAGAATGTTAACAACAAATACTTTTTCACACCCAACCCAGTTCTGCAGAATCAGAATCAACGTTGAGTTTAAGCAAGCGAATGAGGCAATTGATGAAAAAGTGCCATGCAGATTTAAATTTTTCCCACTTGTGACGAGTGCAGCTATCGATTTTTTTTGTATTCTAGCATGCTAGTTAACATTCGTGACAGTCAGCTGTTGGCTCTCACGCTGGCCAATAGAATCTTCCTGCCTATTCGTGGCAGCCAGCTATAGGCTCTCACTCTGGCCAGTAGAAAATGACCGCAAACTACATGAAAACTGCCGTAGAAGCATGAAAAAAATCGATTATTTCTACTATCGATGGGAGTTGGGAAATGCAAAGTCGGCCTTGGAAAAACCGAATGAAAAAAGAATGTTAACAACAAATACTTTTTTCACACCTAACCCAGTTCCGCTAACTTGGAGCATGTGCATGTAAATTTTGGTGCAAATCCATCAAAAATTGCGGCTGTGTATTCGTTACACACACGCACATACACATCCTGCCTTTTATAGATAGAGATTCATACCGTTCCAAAATGAAAATGCATGTAACCAAATTTGACTGGAATTCGAACTCGGCTCTCCGATTTATCATTCGCTATCTATTACACTGCTCGACAATACTCTGAATTTAATCCCATGAGTGTTACACGTTCTTCGTCTCCCCCCAAAAGATAATACAAGTTCTCTTCATTTTCCGTTCATTTTTTTTATCGAACGCTCATCAGTTTTTAACATCGAGATAGACGAGAATCGAAACATCGGTGAGAAATTGACTGAATTTTTCGAGTGTATGTTAACCTCTTTCAGTTGTCGACTCTTTCAAATTATCTGTCTCTTCGTCTATGAAATAAATCATCTGGAAAATGTCCAATAACGTGTTTCTTAATTTTTAAAATATGATAATTCTATGACGTATTTTTTTGTTTTTAATAATTCTTTATAATCCCATAAGACTATGCTGAAAGTTTCCTCATCAAGATCACAGGCAAACTATTTTCAAAATCAATCTTCTTGCTTAGAGAGGGAAGGCTGTAATGACTTAATATATATTAATTAAGAATTTGCAAAGAGGAACGATCAATTTATTTTTTTTTTTTTTCATACCCTGCCTGGTGGCAAATGCTGCTGGTGGCGCCTGGGGTGGCGGTCCCGCCATAGCCACCGAAACCGTGAGATCACCCCTGGTCGGCGGCTGATGAAGTCAGGGTATCGCACGTGCTAACACACGTTGTATGTTAAAAAAAAAATTGTCTCCAGTCCTTTCAAATGATATATGCCTGACTCAGAACTAAGAACATGTTTTTATGATAAG